TGAGCTGGAGTGGCTACAGAAGAGAGCAACCAAGCTGGCCAGAGTCCTGGAGAACATATTGAAAGAGATCCTATTGAAAGAACTAGAGATGTTTTAGGCTAGAGAAGTTAAGACTTACAGGAGGCTTGAGAATATAGAAATTACAGCAATTTGGTTGCTAAGGAAAATTAGGGCAAAGGTCACCACCTGCTTCACCAGCTCCACTCTACACCTGTTCATCTGTCTCCCAAGGTGATCTTCACGGACTCTGCTTAGCAGCTAGGAGCATGGGGATGGGGGAGGGGAGGGCAGGGCAGGGAGCTGAGTGAAAGGAGAAACCTCATCAGAGACTCCTTTGCTTTCCGGATGAAGCGCAAGGTACATAGGCTAGTCTGAAGGGGTATAAGAGAAATGACCATAATTCAGATAAGTGTTTCAGTCAGAGTGAGCACAAGCTCACTAGAGGGGGTTCTGTTCAAATACAGAGTTAAATGTCTATGGCTTTCCCCAGCCAGTAGCTAGCTGAGTTCAGCTGTGGTCTTGAATCCCAAGTTGAAATAGCCCTGGGACTCTAAGCTGAAAGAGCTGAAAAACCCCGCCAATACAAATGCTATTCTGAAGAGTCACCAGTAGATGGCAGAAGAGATCAGATCGACAGGAAGAGTAGAGCAGCAGAAGACACTTCCCCCACTGCTAGCTCAGAAGAGATGGCCGGAGGTCTTCAGTTGTTATACAGGGGAGAAAATAGGAATATCTGCTGAATCACTCTGCTGATATCTCTTAGGTGTTTTCAGTGGCTGTCCCCCATGCCCAGAATGCTCTCCCTTCTCTTCTCTGCCTCCTGGCTTCTCTGATTTCCTTCAAGTCCCAGCTAAAATGCCATCTTCTTTAAGGAAGTCTTTCCTAATCACTGTTCATTCAAGCATCTTCCCTATGTTGATTACATTTATCCTGTATATAGCTTAGTATGTAATTGTTTGCCTGCTGTTTCTCTTATTAGATTGTAAGCCCCTCAAGGGCAATGACTGTCTTTTGCCTTTTTTTTTTTTGTATTCCCAGCACTTAACATAGTTTCTGGTATATAGTAAATGTTTATTAATTGATAGGCTATGCCTGCTAATTGGGTGTCCTCTAAGGCTCTGTCCTGGGCACTTTCCCCTTTTCCTTTTATATGGTTTCCATTGGTGTCCACATGAGTTTCCATGTATTCAATCATCATTTCTTCGAAGATGATTTTCAGCTCTTTCTATCTAGGCATATCCTTTTTCTTGACCTCCAGGCTCCAATCTCCACCTACCTATTGAACATATTGAACTCTATGTCCCATATACATTTTAAATTCATCTTGTCGAGAAATGAATGCTTTATCTTTTCCCCAGAATCTTACACTCTTCTGAACTTCTCTTTTGCTACTGAGGTCACCACCATCCTTCTGGTCACTCAGGTGCACAATCCCAATGTCATCTTCCATTCACTCTCACACCCTATATCTAATCTGTAGGTTCTAAAATATTTATAGCAGCTCTCTTTGTGGTGGCAAAGAACTGGAAATTGTGGGGATGCACATTAATTGGGGAATAGCTAAACAAGTTTGTGGTATATGTTTGTGATGGAATACTACTCTTCTACAAGAAATAATAAGTTCGATGATTTTAGAAAAACATGGAAAGACTTACATCAACTAATAAAGCGATTTAAATGAGCAGAACCAAAAGAATATTGTTTTACATACAGCTTTGGATAACCAAGTCATTCTAAGTATCCAAATTAACTAAAAAGGTCCTATGAAGGAAGGTGATATCTGCACTCAGAGAAAGAACTGATATATGTATGTATGTGTGTATACATACATACATACATACATACACACACGCACACACATACATATATATGTATATATATGTATACATACACACATATACATACATAAACACATACTTGTGTCTAATGATGGCCATCTCTAGGGGTGAAGGGAGGGAGAGAGTATATGGATATCTAAAAGGAATAGCAAGCTGTACATAATAGATCTGCAATTTCAGGTGCAATCTTTCTTTCTGTTCCACTTTGTTATGGAAATGCTTGTTTTATTTCTTAAGATCAGGGGGGAGAGAGAAAGAGAGAGAGAAAGAGAGAGAGAGAGAGAGAGAGAGAGAGAGAGAGAGAGAGAGAGAGAGAGAGATTGATTCAATATGGGATGCTGCTCTGTCCAGCCTTTACCATTCTTTATCTGTCTTCCTGGTCACTGGTTTTTTCCTTTCTCTTTGCTTCTTCATCCTACTTGGTTTTTGTTTTGTTTTGTTTTGGTTTAATACCCACCATCTCCCTTCAAAGTCAGTCAAACAAAAAGCACTAGGTAGTATACCCTCAGGTAAGGACTGAAACCTCCTAGAGCATGGTCTGGTCCATGGACTGGTCCACCTGCAGGCAGCTCTGTCCAGTCTTCTCTTGATTTGTGTCCAAGCCATTTTTGAGGAGCTCCAAAAAGGTCTATTACATTTGTAATGGAAACAAGGAAGTATTATTAAACTGATTTAAGTAATTTCAAGTCTCCAGCACTAAGCAAATCAAATTATTCTACCAGATACTAAAAGAACTCGCAGAGATGATTGTAGAACCACTGTCTGATGCAGAATAAGGAATACAGAATGAAAGAGATGTCAAAGAGCTGTTGATGAGCAAATGACTTCATTTTCCAAAGGGAAGTGGGAAGTAGTTTAGAAGCCAACCACCAATGAGTTTGTGTCCTCAGCGTGCAGACATCTCAAGTGATGAACACCCTACCAGTCTATCTGCTACCTCACACTAAGGGATAAGATGATGGAAGGAGAAAGGGGGTGGAAGGAACTTGATATAACCCTTGGCTCAAAGGGTCAATAATATGAGACTTTCTCCTCATTGGTAGAAAGCAATGCCACATACTTGCATAAGGGGCAGAGCAGAGTGTGTGGGAACAGGAGACGGAAGAGATCTTTTCAGTCCCTTTGGGTTCTTCAGTCTTTCTGGCTCCTCTGGCTTCCAGGGTGACAAGAGAGAGAATGAATGAGATTCTAACCTCTATGCAGAGACATGAAATGAGAAAGACTTTGAGAAGAAGCCAACATGTGATTGTGTCCCTATTCCCAACTTGGTACAGTTATAATTGTTCTTCTTTCTCTAGAGCCTTTAGAAACAGAGCATATTGCGAATGCTAGATAAACCATAATGATGCATTATTACATCTAGCATAATGGGGAGCAAAGAACAGGCCTATCTGGTCTCCATTGGTTAGAGTGCAACTAATAGTTGAGATTGAGCCCTAGGTACTTTGGGGTAAATGTGGCTCAACACTGAAGGAATTTGGTGCTTTGGTATGATACAGCCAAGCTTTAATGGTCCTTGGTCCACCTCCACCCCTCCTACCTCCTACCCCCCCACTCCCCAAGTCAATGACGTGTGCAGGAAGGCAGCACGCTATGTTGCTTAAAAAAGAAAGCCAACTTCCAGATCACTCTCTTCCTTCCTGTTTCTTGAAACATACCAAAGTGGCTTTCCTTCCCTGGGCTTCTCCCGCAGGTCTGGAAAGGGCTTGTGCCCTTCCCCTACTGTGGCAGACTGTTTGAATATGACAATTATAACAGGGGTTCAGCTAAGTGATCTGAGCCTTGGGCCTCTAGCTGCCTTTTCTGCTTTGTATTTCTTTCCCTAAGTATAGGTGACCAAATAAACCCCAAGATGGTCACATCCCGCTTTGGAGTCAGCCTCATAAGTTCAAGAAGCTGGGAGTATTTGAGTCTCCCAGTTGGAGCTGACTTGAAGCAAATTTCTGCATGGGGGAGGATGACCAGCCCCTGGCCTGACTTGCCAAATGACTTGGACATTGTTTGGATAGTGCAGGTCAAAGGTGAAATAGACAGCAGTCTCACCAATTTTTTTATATACTGAAGTTTAAGCTTTAACTTCCCAGTAGAATATAACAGTAGTTGTATTACTTTTACTACTAATTTAAGTCTTTATGTCCATTAAAGTTCATGGGTTTTGTGAATGTTTTCTGTAAAAGGAAATATATAGTTGTCTTATATATCTGATTTAAATTGCACATTAAGTACCATTTTATTCCCTCTTTTGGGGAGATCCTGTACATGAGGCAAATACAACTTTAAGTGATTATACTTAGGCCTCCAAGGTGAGTACATAAAGAGCCAGAGAGTGGCTCTTTAGGGGCCAGATTTCCCCACTGATTGAACCTGGTTAAAAAAAAAAATTGAATCTAGAGCTAAGAGGGGAAGCTTGGAAGAGAAGGAAAGGGTGATTATCTCAGCACCCCTGGGCCCAGTAGTCGTTGTTATTGCTGGGCTACTTTTTTCTTAGGATTACTGCTTCTTTAGTGAGAAGAGTTCTCAGGAACTACTCTGGACTGAAACTTCTACTCTATAGGTAAATTTAAAAAAAATTTTAAACACCAATGAGTTTGTTTGATATGCTAGATACTAAACCAAGCCCCCAGAATTTCAGGCCTGAGGAAGAATTTTTTTTCAGGCGTGGGGAAGACGCAAGTATATCTTAGTCATATCATTTCACCTTCCATGCCCCACACCCCTTTCCTCCTGGTAGGCCAGTCAGCTAAGAACTACAAGCATCACAGCTCTCCCAGATGCTATATGTTATAGCAGGGGTTGATCAAGGATGTCCCTGGTCAATGTAGAATCCCTCAATCAACTTGATGAGATTACAAATGTAGACCCATGTCAGAATCCTAGTTCATTTTCTACCTTCTTCCCCACCCCACCTCTCTCAGATAACTTTATAATAGTGCAGATTTTTTCCAACAGTATGTAATCTGAATGAGGAAGAATACTGCCCTACAGCTGGAAAACCAATCCCATGCCATTGTGGGCCAAGAGATCTGAACCTTGCCAACCCTTCATGATACTGTGGATTTGCTTTGGACAGTACAGATCTGAAGTGAATGTGATATATACAAATATTCTTTACCGAAGTAGAGTAATTTTTAAAAAAAAATTTATTGTTTGTGATAACCAGCATGAATAATCAAAAGTATAAAACCATTTCAGGATATGCACACAATTATTCAATTAATTAACAAGTATTTATTAAGTGATTACTATGTGCCAGGCACTGTCCTAGGCATATGCAGGGGCCATTGCAACAACAAAAACTATAGGAGGAACTGTGGACCTATTAAGTAATACTATTAAACACATACATCAAACACCATCATGACTGAAGTGACTTCGGGGAGCTATTGAACAGAAAGGCATTGGAAGATTTTGTTCATATCTGGTTGGGACATGTAATAGAGAACTTGAATGACATGTTGCCCAATTAAAGATAACCAAAAAAAAAACAGCCCAGAAAGAATTCTGAAAACAAAAATACATCAGAAATTTGAGATTCCCTCAATTGGTAATTAAAAACAAAGGTTATAAGTTTCAGGCAATATAAGGAGAGCAAAAGAACAACAACAATAATTCAATATCAAACAAAACTTTATTACAGAGTCTTAAGTATTAAAGAAATTAAAGGTAGAGAGGACCCCCTGTAAAGAAGCAGAATATGGACAACTTCTGCTTATCTCTATGGTTACAAGAAATCCAATAGAGTGAAAATATACATTGGATCAAACAAAAACAGAAAGCTGTGCAATGTCAGTATAATGAACGATAGGAGAATTATGTCCAAAGAAGAGACAGAAACTCTAGCTTTTCTTCAAAACTAGAAAGCAATAGGGCCAGGTAAGCTATATAATCATTGGCTCAAACACTTCACAGTGGCACATGGATTAAGAGCAAAACACTTTCTTAGCTTCTTCTCAGGCATAAGCCTGATTTCATCTTTCTTAACATTTCTACTAACAAAAGATAAGAACAACAGTCAAAATACAGATCATGTCCTTTAAACAAAGCATTCACAGCTTGTCTCACAAGAAAAAAAAATCCATACACACAAGGAAACAATAAATTATCTGAGGAGCAAAAAGGGTGTGTTAAGAAGTCCCACGAGTATAAAGAACAACTTATTATCCATTTGATAATTATTGAACATGTCACAAAAAGTACTGTGACATTTAAACTGCCTTTATTGACAATTACAAGTCCTTTGAGTTAGTTGTATGTATGTGGCTTGTGTATTGCACATTTACAAAAAACAGACTCAAGTATTGTGTGAATGACATAAAGTATTTGATGCTTACGTGGAAAACTTTTTAAAAACCATGCCACTGACATAAGACTGGACTGATATAAAACACGGTATTTTTCAGGGAGATTGTTTAAGTCCATCATGGTTCTGTCCAGTCTTGAATCCATTGGGATCTATCCTAAATAGAACTAAAAATCGTATTACTCACTTGATGTCAGTGGATGACGTCAAGCTATATGGCTCCACCAAAAAAAAAAAACCACCAAAAAAGAAAAACAAACCATGTTAAACAGGTCTTTCAATATGTGTAATCCTTTTCCCATTGCTATATCAATATTGAGGTTGGCCTCAATAAGTACAAAAGTATTTTTATTTTTATCATCTCATTCTCATCTTTTTTAATGAAGGTCAGATAGAGACAGTCCTGGGACAAGTTGGTATCCTGCTATTTTTCTTTTACATTTACTGTTCTACAGATTATTTCAAGATGCACAAGATAACTACTATTAGCAGTTGAATAAAAGTATGAGGAGGCAGGGTCATCTTTTGTAGGCTTTCTGATAGTATCCTTGATACAGCTCTTATAGAAGATAGAACAACAGGGATTATATGCATCTCATTCTGTTCCTACACGATTTTAATCTCCTCTGCTAGGCTTTCATATTGTGAAAACTTTTTGTTCCATGGAGTTTGGAGATTATGAAATTTTAATATAGTCAAAGCTATTAAAATATTGTTCTTAAATATTTGTGAATCAGTGTTATGCCTGGACAATTGTGGGTGACAGTTTTGTCCGTGATAATTATCTAGTTCTCATATGGTTTATTGGTTGAGTTCTCCAGTATATTTAAGGTCTGTATCAGTGGACTGGTTTAGTATATATACATATATATGTGTGAGTGTATATGTATATAGGTATATATGTATAATATTCTATATGTATGTGTATGTATGTATATATTATTATTATTATTGTTGTTGTTGTTCCATACATATTGGTGTAAAAAAACCAGTTATCTTGCTATTCCACTCACAGATTTTTAGCCACTAGTCTGCACTGCAGGAATACTAGAGGACATTAGTCTAAATATTCTTCTGTTGTGAGAGTTTTTCCCCCTAATTTAAATCTTTCCTCTTTTTCTTTTTTGGGCTTTTTCTGGGCTTGAGGACTTTTGCTTGCACAGTCATTTTCTTGATGAAAACTCCAGTTCAAATAGTTCCAGGTATGACACCTCCTAACTCCAGACCAGGGCAGATAGCACCACAACTGAGGAAGACGTCCAGTGTCCCTTATGTTCTTTCCTTGCCCAGAGCTCTAATTCATAGAAGACACCACATAGGCTGTAGCAATGTACTTCTTGCCATTTCCATAAGTGACCTTGTCCCAGGGATAGGTCTGGATGGCCAGGGGGTACCCACCTAGGCTCAAGTGGCACCTACAGAAAAAAAACACACCATCACAGATGTCTTCCATTCTCTCTATCCCTTTGACTCTTGGCTACAATGGAGAAAACCCAATAGAAACAGGAATATGTCCTGTTTTTAAATACCTGAGAAGACAATGTAACGCTTTTCTTTGGTTACAGTTTCTGATGCCTTAATTCCTGATGGCTAGGAAAATACTTGGTAAACCTTAAAGGCGTTATTATTATTATTATTATTAATTGTTACCTACTTCCAATCTCTTCTAATTTCAACCCATGAACCTTTATTCTCTCTCTAGGGCAGGCCTGCATAACCTGGGGCCCACAGGTCGCTTATGGCCCTCCGCTGCTCCTGGCACACCAAAGGATTTCTGGCGGCCCATGAAAAATGCAGAGGAAAACATCCTCTGTAAGCAGAAGAAATCCTTTGGCATGTTGCAAGCAACTGGAGGTGGCAGATTGTGCAGGCTTGCTCTAGGAGAAGTAAACAGAGATAGAGAATTGTAGAATTTTAGAGCTGAAGGCCTAAATGTTAAATAATTTGCACAGGATCACATAGTTCCTTAGATTCGTAGAATTTTAGAGCCAGTAGGAATTTTAAAGGTCATCTAATTCAGGCCCCTCATTATACAGATAAGGAAACTGAGACCCAGAAAAAAAAAAGTCCTGGTGATACTCAAGATATTGGGCAGCTAGGTAGCAAGCATCAGGCCTTGAGTCAGGAAGACCTGAGTTCAAATCTGACCTTAGACGCTTACTAGCTGTGTGACCCTGGGTAAGTAAATCACTTAACCCTGTTTGTCTCAGTTTCCTCATCTCTAAAAAGGGCTAGAGAAGGAAATGGCAAACCACTCCAGTGTCTTTGCCAAGAAAACTCCAAATGGGGTCACAAAGAGTCAGACACTACTGAAACGACTGAACAACAATGATATTCAAGAGGCCTAATATGCCTCATGTTAAGACAGTCCATCTTACTTATCATTCGTATCATGTTTTACAACTTCCTTTGTTATAAAGATTTTTATCTTTCTTAAATGAAGTGTATTTGAACTTTTGGAGGATTAACTTAATGAACCTCTAAGATTGGGAGCATCTGGGCATACATAAACCTACAAGACTTATGGATAGGGTTGTGTTAGTAAATATTTAATGATCAGCTGGGGGGGGAGTTTTAAATTTAATCTGAATTGTTAGTATTTTCTCCATTACTTTTGTAAGTCTAGACTGAACAAAACAATAAATCTAGCCCTGATTTGAAGAGTCTGCTGATTTCTGAGGTATAAATGCTCACACTGAAAATTTAACAATTGGCTGCTTTGAACAGGCTCCAGTACACCCCTGCTATGAGGCACACGATCACTGTTTTTAAGTATCTGAAAAACTATCATGTGGAAGGGAGACTGTCCTAAGTCTTAGAACTACTTTTCAGTTATGCTGTGAAGGGGATTCTTGTTCCGTTCCAAGTTAGGCCAGAGGACACTGGAGCTTAAGCTTCATTGATTCTGTGAAGTAGCTTAATTCAAGGTCACACAGGTCAGAGGCAGCAGAGCTGGAATTCAATCCCAGGTCCTCTGAGATTCAAGGAAAGTTATGGATATACCTAGTCCCAGAGCCAGTTTATGGACTAGGACCCAGTTCTCCTGCTTCCCTTTCTGGTAGTAGTAAAGACTGTTGTATATCCCTCAGCCTGTTCTAATATTCCTAGCTAGACCTGTACTTACACTCTGCCAGGTCTGCTGATGAAACACAAGGAATAGAGAGCAAACTCAAACTCGGGGCTACTGCCGATGAAAGCTGCTCCCACTTCTTTGTAGTAGCCATCCCAGTGGAATTGCATGCCTAGCACGTCAGGATAAGAGTCCCACTGCAGAGAGAAGAGGAAGACGGCAATGAGCTTTGGGGAAGGAGAGAGTTAGCCAACCTGAACTCTAAGAAGCAGGGGAAGGAGATGATAGGAATGTAACTTTTGAAGGAAATACCTCATCGAGTTAGCTAAGATTTAATGAGCACCCATTATGAGCCAAATACTGAGTGAGGTGGTCCATACAGGGACCATGGTTCGCAGGGAAATATTAGTATTCCTGAGATTTGGTAGTGTCTCAGTGAGGTCTGTTCCCACACTACAAAAATCCTGCTAAGAGCCAAGAATAGAGATATACAGCTTGGACTCATGTGAAAGCAATTCCAGTACAAAGGAGAAAGGGTATCTGGCATCTTACTTTCAAGCTCACACTTGGAAAATGAAAACAATTTACTGTCTTCCAAAGATATCCTGGCACAATTTTTTTTTAATGCCCTTTAACAAGGCATGAAGATATCAATTAATTTGGGCAGGCTGCAGCTTATAGCCATTTCTATAGCTGATGGGGGGGGTAGTCAGTAATAGCAGACTGAACAAAGCAGAAGGATAACCATGATGTGTTTGTTTTCTTGTCTGAGCTAGAAAACATTCCCTAAATGGCTGAAAAAATTGTGGTATATGAATACAATGGAATATTATTGTTCTGAAAGAAATGATAAATAGGATGGATTCAGAGAAACTTTGGAAGATGTACATAAACTGATATAAAATTAAATGAGCAGAACCTTGGAAACAATTTGCACAGTGAATATAATAATATAAAAGAGAACAATTTTGAAAGATGTCAGAGCTCTGATCCATGCAATCCCCAATCATGCCTTTAGAAGACTGATGATGAAGCATGGTTTCCACCTCTTGGTACAGGGAGGTTAGGGAATAGAGGTACAGAATGAAACCTGTGTTTTCATACATAGTAGTTGTGTGAATTTGTTTTGCCTGGCCATACTTATTTGTTATAAGGAAAAGCTTCTTTTTAGGGGTAAGGGGTGAGTTAGTAGGTAGTGACAAAGATCTCCCCCTCAAAAAAGGAAAGAAAAAAGCATCAACATTTGAAAAAAAAAGAAAACAAAATGTTTAGAGACACAAACAAATATGGCATTAAAAAAATACCATCTTGTTAAATTTAATAGACACTTTAAAAAGCCCAACTGATGATTTCATATACAGTCTTTGTATATTGAAATGTTCGTATTTGTTGGCGATTAAGTTCATAATAAAAATTACTTTTTAAAAGAAATATTCCCCTTAAGCAAACTTATCTTATGGTACTCTCTTTCCTGTAGCCTTTATTTCAGTCAAACTGGCCTCTTCTCTGTCCCTAAAACATTCCCTAATTTCCTACTTTGTGCTTTCGCTGGCACTGTTTCCTATGTCTGGAATGTTCTCCTTCCTGACTTCCTACCCATCTTTTTTTTTTTTTTTTGGTTAGGCAGTTGGGTTAAGTGACTTGCCCAGGGTCACACAGCTAGTGAGTGTTATGTGTTTGAGGCTGGATTTGAACTCAGGTCCTCCTGACTCCAGGGCTAGTGCTCTATCCACTGTGCCACCTAGCTGCCCCTAGACTGTAAGCTTCTTGAGAGAAATTGTCTTTTACCTCTTTTTGTATTCCACGTACTTAGCACCGTGCCTATGGCAGGTGCTAAATAAGTGTTTTTCGACTGATAATTATCAGTCTATTAGAGTGTAAGCTCCAGGAATACAGAGTCTTATTTAATTAGTGTAGCAGTTTCTCCAGCTCCTAGCACAAGATCTGGCACACATTGAGCACTTAATAACTGTAAGTGTTTGTTGAATGAACAATTTCCAGTTGTGCCCAGCAGTTCTAGAGAACAACTATACCTTCCTTCTTCCCCTTCTCCCATCACAGAGTACCCTCAAACCAAGCCTGCTCTCTGGTAGATGAGACCGTGAGTCAGCCAGGCTTACCACACCCAATATCGAACTGCTGATGGAGAGATAAACGATGACAGCTTTGACATCTCTAGATTGGGGGGAATAAAGAAAGGGAATGGGGACACCCAATAAGGCCTTTTCCATCTATAAGAACAGTCTTCAGGACTCACCGGCCCATCGTAGTTGTGGCTATAATAGTCGACCAGACCTTCCTTCTCCTGCAGGTAGAAGCGGATCCAGTTATGGAATCCTGTCACTTTCCCCTTTTTCACTTCACCTAAAACAACCAAAAATTTCAGGGTTGATCATTCACTCTCTCAGACACCTCAGAAATTCTAAGAATTTTTTACTTCATGGGGATTATCATGCCTAGATCCCTGACTCTAAGGTGAGTTTTCTAGATAGGAGTCTCTTCATAACTTTCCTGTACTTTCTCAGAATCTTCCACTCCCCCCATTCAGGAAAATTCTTCCTTAGTGTTTATCTACACTGGCTTCAAGTTTTTCAGATTAGTCCTTCTCCTGGTGTAGGCTTATTCCAGTTTTCCAAAGGTAAGGTGCTCTGGTTGTATCATAAGGCTGAGACCTACAGAAATCAGGTAGTCTATAGATGGTCTGGAGGAAATGGGGGAGGAGATAATCATATCATATCATAATGTGCCACCTTTATAAACTGGAAAGCAAAAATACCAAAATGACTAGAATGCTATCGAGAAACAAATCTTCCCTACAGGGTCTCCCATTAGAAACAGTGTTTGGAAATCCCAGCGTTCAGAGTTCTCATCAACCTGAGCTCTTCCAGGGGAGAGACTGCCTCGAAATAGCATCCTAGTCTCCTTTAGCTTGGAATGGTTGGGGAAGAAAACAAAAAGGAGCAGGAAAGACTCCTTCCTATTCATTGGCATGATTTCTGGTCCTTTGGTATGAGTTGGGTCCCCCAAACCCTTGACTTAGAGAAATAAGTAGTATCTCACCCACCTTCCCCTTAACTGTCAAACAGAGAGGCCTTACCTGAGAAAACATGTTCAAAACCACTGGAGTCACACTTATCACCGCCACGGGAATACAGCCCAAACCACATGTTCTTTAGGTCACTGACAAATTCCTGCTCTGAACTGTATCTGTCTGGGGAAATGAACACAGACAAATCAGAACCTGAGAACTGACACAGGCCAGCTTTCAGTTGTCAGAGGAGGTGATATCAGGTTCAAACCATTAAGATGCTAATGGGATTCAATCAAGCAACAAATATTAATTGAGGTATATAGTATATATAGTATACAGCCAATATGGTTTTAGGTACATAGAGAGTAAGAAAGACATATCAAAAAGGATTCCTCCACTCAAGTAATTTATAATCTAATGGCAGAGAGAAGATTAATATACATAATAATTAGGAAACAATATGTTATTTTAAACAATTACACTGTTGTAGGGAATGTAGGAAAATTGGGACACTAATGCACTGTTGGAGGAATCGTGAACTGATCCAACTATTCTGGAAAGTAATTTGGAATTATAACCAAAAGGCTATAAAACTGTGCATATCCTTTGATCTAATACCACTACTAGGTCTGTGTCCCGAAGAGATTAAAAAATAAAAGGAAAGGAAAGGAAAAGGACATATATGTACAAAAAATATTTTTAGCAGCTCTTTTTGTGTGGGAAAGAATTGGAAATTAAGGGAATGCCCATTAACTGGAGGAATGGCTGAACAAGTTGTGGTATATAATTGTGATGGAATACTATTGTGCTATAAGAAATGAGGAGTATGATGCTTTCAGAAAAACCTGGAAAGACTTGTATGAACTGATACAAAGTGAAGCAAGTAAAAGCAGGAGAACATCGTACATAATAACAGCAATATCGTACATTGGTCAATTGTAAAAGAACTTAGCAATTCTCAGCAATACAGTGATCTAAGGCAGGCCCACACAGCCTGCCACAGGTTGTACAGGCCTGACCTAAGACAATTCTGAAGGACTTATGAAGAAAAATGATATCCACCTCCAGAGAAAGAACTGACAGAATATGAATGCAGATTGAAGCACACTTGTTTTTTTTTTTAAGGCAATTGGGGTCAAGTGACTTGCCCAGAGTCACGCAGCTTGTTAGTGCCAAGTGTTTGGTCTGAGGCCGGATTTGAACTGAGATCCTCCTGACTTCAGGGATGGTGCTCTATCCACTATACCACTTAGCTGGCCCTATGCACACTTTTGTTACACTTTATTTTTCTTGGTGTTTTTTTCTTTGCCTATATTTTCTTTCACAACATGAATAATACGGAAATATGTTTTGCATGACTGCACATGTATAACCCATATCAAACTGCTTGCCTTCTCAATGAAGGGAGAAGGGAGGGAGGAAGGGAGAGAATTTGGAACTCAAAATTTAAAAAAAAATGAACGTTAAAAAATTTTACATGTAATTAGAAAAATATTTTTAAATCAATAAATAAGCAATTATACTATATGGACCAGCATAGTGGGAAGGCTTCATAAAGGAGGTGGGATGGGCTTTGAAGAAGGTAGTAGGATCTGGCCTGGGGCAGAGTGAAACACTTAGGAAACATTCCAATCAAGAGAAATCCAAACAATGTCAGGAAAGAGCATGTGTAGAGAGTTATGTGCAGGACTACCCCCTTCACTTAATGGAAATCTGGTTTCACTGTGTTTGAAAATCTTACAATTTAAAAGTCAAGGGGCCCACAGAAAACATATTCTACCTGAGTAGAGACCAGCATATTACCAGAAAGGTTCCCATCACAGGAAGTGAGTGGAGCTCTTAACTTCTAAGTGATTGCCCTGCATGCAATTCAATCCATCCATATGTAAACAAATTGAGAATCCCAGGCTGTGCTTGGGCCTGATAGAACCTGATAGAACAAGTAGCATTAAGAGAACTCCAGGATTCTAGAGTAGTAAAAAGAATGTTGAATAATAAGCATAGGATCATAGATTTAGAGCCAGACAGGACCTTAGAGACCAATGAGTCTAATCCTCTCATTTTACAGATGAAGAAACTGAGGCACAGAGAAGTTTAGTAATTGCTTAAGGTTATATAACTAGTAAATGTCTGAGGTGAAATTTAAAAGCCCTTACATGTCCAATACTATCCACAAAGCCATGCTGCTTCATCATAATGATTATGACAGGCAGTGTCCTTTAGTGGATAGAGAGAGGGCCAGAAGACCTGGGTTCAAGTCTTGCCTCTGACATATAGTAGCTATGTGACCCTGGGCAACTTCAAGTAACTCTTTAAGACTGTACAGACAAATTGCCAATGTGAATCAGTAAACAGACAGTTGCTCTATCAAGAGTTCCCTACAGGTGAAATCACAAGTCCAGACCAAAAAATAATGATAACTGACATTTACATAGCATTTTAAGATTTATGAAGTGAGTTCATTGCAACAACCCAGTAAGAGTGCTGCACCTGGAATTAGGAAAACCTGAGTTCAAATCAGGCCTCAGACACTAACTGTATGATTTTACCCAAGTCACTTATCCTATATTTGCCTCAGTTTCCTAAACTGTAAAATTGGGATAATTACAGCATCTACCTCACAGGGTGTTGTGTGAGAATCAAATGCTATAATGTTTGTAAAGTGCTTAGCATAGTTACCTGGCACGTGTGGGTGCAATAGAAATGCTTATTCCTTTCCTTTCCTCCCCCACACCATGCAGTCAATATTCAACTGAACTGGGACTCAAATGTAGGTCTCCTGATTCCAAATCTGATGTTAATTCCATTACACTATACTGGAAGGAGAAGATGTAATGTGGCAGACCTAAAAAATTTGAGGTGGAAGGAAAAGAGGGTACCCATTGTCCTGATAGCAACCACTCAGCACACTGGATCTGGGTACTACCTTACTGTAACAGTTGAAAAATCAACTCACAGAGGCAGGAGTATCAGAATGAGTAATGGCTAATGGCTAATGAGCTTGTTATTTTGAGGCAGAGAGACAGGAAAGAACAGGGAAATGGAAACGGACCTCTGATTTAGAGTAAGAAGATAGTCTACCAAGCCAAGAAGTTGTGCCAACTGAAAATACCTTTGGCTTGATAGGCTTAGTTTGTATCAGGAACCTGTACTGTGTAGGAGTTTCCTTCCTGTGTCTTTGTTGCTTTTTGAAATACCTCCCCCCTCCCTTAGTTTCCCAGTAAAGCTTCCGCATATTAGAACATCTCTTGTGGAAGGGCTCCCTGGTTGGTTAGTAAGGAAGGTGAAGTCAAGGACAGGCTGGCTATTTGTGGTGTTAGCAGCCAACTTCTCAAATCAGCTAAAGGATTCCCCCGAAAGGGTAGGGACTCACCTGGGAGAAGGGAAGGAGGGAACTTGGAAGGAAAACCTACATCCTTTTCTTCATTAGATTTTTTTTGGGGGGGGGATTTAGTTGAACACTCTCCTCCCATGCCAACCCTCTCCCAGTAATTTTGACCTTCCAGACTGTTCTCATTTGATAAGGCTATAGAAATTCATTGGCAGAACTGGAGGGGAAGACTGCAGAAGTTAGCTATAGATATTATTGACTCTTCTGCTTTGGAGTTTTGTCACATAGTAAGAGTGAGAAAATGGGCATGCTATATCCTAGGGGCAAAAGAGAGACACAGAGAGAGGGAGAGAGAGAGACACACACACACACACAGAGACAGATAGACAGACAGAGAGACAGACTGAGGGACAGAGACTGAGAGAAACAGATAGAGAGACAAAGAGAAACAGAGACAAAGAGACACACAGAGACAGAGACAGAGAATGTATTTGGGAAGCAGTGGAAAATAAGATTAGATGGATAGATAGATAGATAGATAGATAGATAGATAGATAGATAGATAGATGGATGGATGGATGGATAGAGAGACAGATAAGCATCTTTTAAGCATTTGTTCTGCTCCAGGAACTGTTCTATGTCCTGGAAATACATATATAAGCACACACAAACAAAGACAATCTCTACCCTCAAGTAACTTACATTCGAATGGACAAGGAATATACTGATTACTGAAGGTTTTGAAAACCAGATGATTTCTCAGGGCTATAGGGTCTAGTCATCTTTCCATTCCCCATATTCTCTTTGGCCCCCTCTAGTCTTTGCTAGAGTCCACATGCTCTGAGGATCCCTATGCCCTTTCAAAAACCTTCTCCATTGCCTCTCTAGGTGCTCTCTCTCTTCTACCAAAGGGCTGGGGGCTCACTCACTCTTTTGATGGAGGAAGCCATAGAGTTCCTTCATGACTGCTGTCTTCATTATCTCTTGAAGGAAGGTATCCTGTTCCCCAAGCTGCTGGGGAGTGAAATGTTCTCCTTGACCAGTCACCCGCTGGTAGTTATTGAGTAGGTTGATGAATGCAGCATAGGTTGGTTTGGAGAAGAGTCCTTCATTTACATAGCTGTAGAGCCTGGGTGACATCAAGAGAAACTGGGATTGGGTTCCATAGCAGAAGAAAAACTATGGTCCCATAACTGAGCAAGAAGGGATTGGTGTTACGAACTATCTCTTACAGACATGTGTGCAAGAACCATGCCCCAGTTCATACTTTGTCCCTTGCCCTCCACTCTTCCTACTCAGGAATAAATAACCTAAAAATAACTCAGAAAATGCTGAATTCAGAACTATGATATAAGCCAAATCTGATTACAGCTTTTCTATAAATATGTTCTTATGCATAGAATATGTATATATATATGTATGTATATATGTATATACAGGCATAGAGTATGTTCGTATATGTGTATATATACACACATATACATATATACTGCATTTTATATATATATATATATATATATATATATATATATATATACACATATATGCATATATACTGTAACACCCTCACTTACATATATAGGGGAGGGCATTACAGTTCCAACCCAGAGTCCCACAACACGACTCCCCCTTAGTTCAGTGACTCAACAAACATCCAGGGCACACCAGCTCTGCACTTCCTCTAGCTTTCATTATTATTATTATTATTATTATTATTATCATTATTATCATCATTATCTTTCCCATGCCACTCACTCTCACATAAGAGTTAATTCATGCTTTCATCTCACTGTTCTCTTCCTCCTTGAACCAACTAACAAATTTCCAAGTACTAAACACAAACACTAGGCTTTGGTCCATGTTCCTTCCTTCACCACACCCAGGCTAGTTTCCATCTACTTAGAAACCAACACTACCCCTGAGGCAACTTCCTGAAACTTTTAAATAGGCCTGGGGAAGAGCTCCAGGGAATGACATTGCCTACTCTCACAGACACAAGCACATAGAAGTTCCGCCTTTATCCTTCTACCCATAGCATTTTCAATTTCTGACAAGTGTCTGGCTACCCTAACCCCCACTACAATATGTTACATAGCAGAATATAATACACACTATATTCTGTCCTGAAAAGGAAGTCAATTGACATAAATTATTATTCACTGGAAGCCTACTGCTCCTCAGTGTGGCATGTTTGCCCTGAGAAACTGTGCTGACTCTCAGATGTCACTTTTATGAACTCCATTCCTGTCTCCTACTTTGTTTTTTGGAATCAACAGTGCTTGACCTGACAGAGCCAACGTTTACAATTTGGACCATTACTTTCCCACCCACATCCTTGCCTTCACTGATTCAACAATAGGAACTGACAAGCCAGAACTTTGAAGACAGCCAGGACTAAGCAAGTACAATTACTTTCCTACTAAGTCTGGAGCCCCTGCTGTGGCGCAGAGACTGTCTTCAGTCTGTTAAAGGGCAAGGGGAACCGCCAAAAAGGGCAAATGATGGGGTTGCTGGACCTGTAAAAGGAAAAGACTATGTATGCCTTTGGGACCTGGACCCCAGAGCCTCTGAACTTGGGTCTCTGACCCGGCCATCCCAGTCAATAATCCTTTTAACTGCCCTTTCATTGTGGCCCTCATTGTCTACATCTGGCCCAGTCTAGGCTACTTGCCACTCCTTAATCCCATCCAGATCTTCTCACAATCTTTCTGTACCAATTTCATCCTCATCAAATGCTCAGATTCTTAAAATCTGGCCAGCTTGTATTGGCATCACAAATAGCATAGACTCACTAGGAGTCTGGCACATTTTTATTGGCGACACAATAAACCTTGTCTTGGACTGAAAGGAGGCATGAGTAGTCGAATTCTTTTGAGGCAGACCCGTGCCCTGTACCCTTACATTTTGGGGTTCCCAGCATCCCTAGACTGCAACACAAGGACTGGTGAAGGAGTTGCTTAGGGAAGGGAGAGATGACATGGGAAGAGAACCTGAGTTCTAATTCTTACATGCCTTTTTTCACCAGATTCCTGGGGCTAGTAGACCCGCCTCAGGTCATTCTGTCACCTTGCCAACAGGAAGGTTCTAAGATCATTCCAGACAAAATGTCTCTCCAGTGTTTTCTTTCTAACTGCCTCAGTGATCTTCTATTATGCTTCATTACCCAAGTCAACAAGAAGAGCTCTCTAATTTCAATCTATCTAATTTTAATCTCTCTTGCTATAAGACAATCTTACTCTCCTAAACCTTTTCTCTACATTCCTTACAACCTCCTTTAAAATGTTTTCTCCTTCTAATTCATTGTTACTCTTCTGTTTCTCAGCTGAAAGACTTGGAGGTTCTAGAACTGAGTTAGGCTCCGTTAGGCTCAAAAGAAATAAGAATGGGAAATAAATAGAAAAAAAAGTCTGGAGAAAGAGGAAGACTCACGGCTCAGGGCATCGATCCACCCGGTCATTTGTCTCAGAGGGAGAGATACGGTTCTGGCTATTAAGAATGATATCTTCCTTCTGAGCTTTGTTGGTGTCTGCCTTGTAGATCTTCTCTGAGATAGTCAGGAGTTCCTCCTGGGTGATGGCATCGCTGCTTCGGGAGAAACCATCTAGAAGGAATGAAGAGTGGCATGTGGAAGAGCTAAAGGGAGAGATTCAGAGCAGGCAGACCTCTCTATTCATTCTGTCTGGGATACCACCAAAAAGGGAAAAAGGAGCAGGCAGGGAAGTCATCTGCATGTGGGATGACTCCACACGTGGCATGACTCCACCATTAGTTTCCCTGAAAGTTGGGCGTATGCAGAGTTGGGTAGAATCATATCCACTGACCAATGTAGCACTTTCTTCCTCTGGCATTCCTCTTTTTTTGGATAGAGTATGATTAGAAGTCATCATGGAGGGACTTACCATGGGCACACAGACTCTCATAATCTTCACAGCAGTTCCCAAACTTCTGGCACTTTGAATTGCAGTGGCATGGATGGTGTTTGTCAAAGGTTTCATGACAACGACCATGGCAAGAATTAGGTGCCAAGTACAGATCTAAAATGATGAGGAGGTGAGGGTTAGTTGTATATACAGGTTCTCCCAACAAAAACAAGCTTATCTTTGGGGTTAACTTTCTCATGAACTCAGCTAGAGATCATTTGGTCCTCTCCTCACAACCTCAGACAGACAAGAAAGAAGAGGGTAAAGGGAATTGTTTCTTCTTAAAGATCTCCAGGAAAAACATCAGACCAGTTTTGCTCATTCCCCTCAGTCAGGAAGTCAACCTTGATGTCTTAACTTCATTTTTCCTGATGCACTTTTCCTCTGCTCTTACCCTTTCAATGAATGCGTCATTGATTCTACACAAAACTTCCTAGAATTCTTATTCTGACTCTGTCCCAGTTGCCTAAGGCTTGTTCTATTTCAAATCCCTGGAGTTGAGGACCCCTTAACACTCTAGCCAGGGACATATCTTTGAAGACCCAAGCCAGCACATTCTGGTTTCATCCAAATTTGACACTGCTATTGCTAATAATACAATCTCCCTCCCTACTTTCCTCCATTCTCTCACTTGTCCTTTGCTTTCTCCCTCTTCTCTTCCTGTAGGTGTCTGCATCCTTAGTACCAACATTCAAAGATTTGGGATTTCTAAATTTTCAGGGAAGTAAAGAAACCTACTGCTGGCTGGGGCTGCCTCTTCTTCCCATTCCATTTCTGTCTCCATTTCTTTGGGCTCTTCTTGACCTAAAGGACAAAAAATTAAAATGACAAATCATTCCCCTGAGTGTTATCCTTTCTAGCCTCACCAAGAATGCCCAGTTCAATTACATATAAGGGTCCAGAAGTGTGGTATGGTTATCAAACATTAGAGAATAAAAAGGCAGAAGAATGACAGAAGCAGAAGTGGGAAACATGAGAGGATGAATTATTGAAATAAGCCAGAAAGTGTCCTATACAACAACTTCCACTAGAAAACAAAATGCCTTACTTTATGCAAAACTTTGAAATGAAATTCTGAGCAAAAACAACTTACAGGATGGTTATCAATTTACAAACGGACTATTTTAATTAGAAAAGGAATCACACCGCAAAAGTCCTTCATAAAGGGTTTCCAATTACAAAAATTCAATTTACACACAACTCTTCAGGCTATTCCATAAAACAAAACAGACTGGTAGAAATATTACTTGTGAACCTGAGGAGAATCAAATGCTAATACCTTCACATGAAATGCTTTTCAATAAAAAAAATAACCAAACTAAATTAAAAAACCAAACAACATCTATTAATCTACTTCTCAAATTCCAAACAGCTGACCTGCATACATTTTGTGTGTTGCAAAGGAAGAGGTGTGCTAATAAATGTTTGACAACTAGCTTTCCAGAGAAAAATATATTTATGACACACTTAAGTTTAATCTGCATTATTAATATATTATTAATTACTTTCTTAAATATAGACAAACAACAAAACAATAAATCAAGCCCTGCTTTGTAGCATTTGTGGATTTCTAAGTTGTAAATTCTCATACTGAAAATTTAACAATTGGTTCTCACCAGCTAGTTAGAGCTGACTCCAGCACATCACTGACAAATTCATTAGGAAAACCCCTGCTCAATTTGCTGAGCCCTTAAACAACTCATTGGGAGTTCAAGACCTGACCTTTGTCAGAAAAGGGAGTTAGACATGACCTAGGACTTTGATGGGAGGACACAGGGAATTCCTGATTGGTCCTCAGTGACTGAGGCTACCTCCTAATGCTTGTTTACTGAGAGTCAGGAGACACTCTTCTCAGAAGAACCTCCCAGTCTGTGGTCAATAAGAGTTAGCTGCGAACCAATAAGGGTCTGAGATACACAAGCAACAGAAATACATAAAACAAAAAGCTACATTTCAATAGAGTAGTTAAAGGACATGAATAATGGTTCTCAAAAAAAAAATTGTAAACTACAAATGGCCATCTGAATTTTTTCAAGTCATTAATAATTAGAGATAAGCAAAGCAAAACAAAAAATAAAGTTTGACCTCCATAACAAATTGGCAAAGATGATGAATGGCAGGAATAATTATTTTAAAGGGGCTATGGGATAAGTGGGCACACTAATGTACTGTTAGTAGAGCTGCAAAGTGATTGGCTGACACTGGAAAGCAATTTTGTGAAGAACTCTTTACCTTTTGACTTAGAGATTCCATGGTGAGGCATCTCCCCCCAAGGAGACCAGGCACAGAAGGACCTCATTACCCACATTTAGGTAAACCTTAGACATGAGTCATACCTAAGCTTTGTTTGTAGATTTTCCTGAAGAAATCCAGGTTGGGGCAACCTTAGGATAAGCTTTTAGTTTCTTGTGAATTCAGAGTATCTTGTTTGGGGGTTGGTCTGGGAAAGTGAGGCTGGACCACAGGGCATACATACATATAACAACAACGACAACCATGATGGCTAACATTAAATATGCTTACTACTTGCTAGGCACTGTGCTCAACATTCTACAATTATTATCTCATTAATTCCTCACAACCACTCTGGAAGGTAGGTGCTATTGTTACCCCCATTTTACAGATGAAGAAACTGAGGCAGGTGTTTGTATATGCATATGTAATTGTCTTTGACCTATTAGTTTATTATCTTTCCAAATTACTCTCCACCCCCAATGAACAAGGAGCCAGATGAAAATAGCAATGGTAATGATATTACTACTACTACTACTACTACTACCACTAATTATATAATGCTTTAAAGTATTATCTAATTTTATCCTCACAACAATCCTTAAAAGTAGGTGCTATATTATCATACCCACTTTACAGATAAGGAAAATGAGGCATAGGGGAGTTAAGTGACTTGCCCAGTGTCACACAAATAGTAAGTGTCTGAAGACAGATTTTAAACTCAGGTCTCCAGGTCCATCGCTCTAGCTGCTTTACCAACCTAACTGCCTCAGTGAGGATAGATAGATCAATGAGTTGTTAAACTGATTGCAAAAATTTGACCATACCTAGTGACTTCCTTCATGAAGTGCAAACAAATTCCTAAATTGAATTGGAAGAGGTCTTTGTTGCTGGCTGGCTAAAAATTGGCCCCATCTCTGGTGGCCCATAAATAGCTCTAGCCTGGAGTGAGTTTGAGATTTTAACACAGTCAGTAACCTTGCAGAGGAGATTCTTTTCCCTATTCCAGAGGGTAATAGGGAGCCCTGGGGAAGCATTTCCTTTCCCCTTTGACTCCAAAAGCTAGGGCATCTTGCAGCACCACATTCAGCAAGGAGCAGAGATGCAAACACTCTGTGGAGACAGAGACACAGAGGCAGCACTTAAGTAGTTCCAAGGAGAGTGACAGCAAAGAAGGGAGCCAGTGAAGGACTCAAGAGAGTCAAATTCCAGAAGGGAGTAGACCCTGAGAACCCAGCTGAGTAAACTATGCAGCAGAAACTCTGTGCATAGGGTGTGGAGCTTCATGGGGACTTCACAAGAAGAGAAAGGAAGAGATGCGTAATCTTGGCTACGTTTTGGGGGGAATGTTTTGTAGCTACTATTATGATGTTATTTTAGTAAATGTGATTTCTTTGAGCTTAATGGGTTTTTCTAGCTGCCTGGTAAGGGGAAATTCATCAGTGGAGGAGTTTGTGAGCTATACCAGTAGGAATGGGTGCCCTCAGGGTATCTTGATCCTAAGGTAGTAGTTATTCCTCAAGGAGCTCAACCTGAGCACATAGGTTGGGGGCAGTTGCCTTGCCTAAGTGAACCCATGCCGTGTTAGGAGTGTATGGAAAAAAGTTTTATATCTAATTCAATAACTATTTTTAAGCACCTATCATGTGCAGGGGCACTGTGCTGGACACTAGAGGCACGAAGATGGATAACAGCATAGATCCTACTGTTAAGGAATTAGGAATACAAAAGGTGGGGAGAGATATTATACAAGATAAGTTATACAAGTACAAAAGAGGACTGGCAAAGCCCAGTGCTTATGAGCATGCCTAGGATGCAGAACTGCAAGTCCTAGAACATGCAAGCCCACATGTTATGCTTGGGAATACAAGCAGATATTGTCTAATTGGCTCTAGATCTCTTCCCTAACCATATGGCAAAGAGATGGACTTTTGACTGGCTGCTGAGCCAGGGCTAGGGTTCATTCAAAATGTACTAATTGGCTAAAATAAGTCTTTCATACCTGGCTGCTGTTCTGGTGAAAGAGACATGTTGGAATGACATGTGACCTGTGAATACAGGCCTCTGTTCTTTGCTTTGTTCTCTGCTTTTAGGTGAAGATGTATCGGCAACAGCTACAACCTTGAGCTCTGAAGGCTCAGAATAGCAAGCCACCTGATATCCAGGATCTGGAGTCCATGTCAGATTTTGTGGTCAGCCATTGGTCCAGCACAGATCAAAGGCAATTGAGGAGGAGAAGGTCATCCATCCACCCATCCATCCATCCATCCATCTCCATCCATCCATCCACCATCCATCCATCCACCCATCCATCCATCCATCCACCCATCCATCCATCCACCCATCCATCCATCCACCCATCCATCCATCCACCCATCCATCCATCCATCCATCCATCCATCCATCCACCCATCATCCACCCACCCATCCACCCATCCACCCATCCATCCACCCATCCACCCATCCACCCATCCATCCACCCATCCATCCACCCATCCACCCATCCACCCATCCATCCACCCATCCATCCACCCATCCATCCACCCATCCACCCATCCATCCATCCATCCACCCATCCATCCACCCATCCATCCATCCACCCACCCATCCATCCACCCATCCATCCATCCACCCATCCATCCACCCATCCATCCATCCACCCATCCACCCATCCATCCATCCATCCACCCATCCATCTACCCATCCATCCATCCACCCATCCATCCACCCATCCATCCACCCATCCATCCATCCACCCATCCATCCATCCATCCACCCATCCATCCACCCATCCATCCATCCACCCATCCATCCACCCATCCATCCATCCACTTTTAGGACTGAACTTGGTGAAACAAAAGTTTGTAGTGGCTATATTAAGCTTGATTCCACTCTCTTCAGGGACTCAGGTGCTATAAAGGATAGTGTTCCCTCCGGTGTTAGGGCAAGAAGGATGTCTTTACTTTTGTTTCTGCTATATCTTCTCGGTAGATATCCTTTTGTAAAAGCTAATTGTTGTTTATTATTTAACTCAAATTGGCGACTCTAACTGCTCATAACTGGTGTCAGGGAGAAGACATAGGAATGGAAGCTGGAGCCAAAGGCATTAGAAAAGATTTACCCCGTCGCCAGCCTCTGAGGGGTACTGGTAGAAGAACCCTAAGGAAAGATAGCTAACCTTACTCTGAGGTATCTGACTTGTCTGTGAGAGTGGGAATTGGGATGAGGGGTCTTAGAGCCTATAGATCCTACATAACTATAACATAAAGAAGATTATGATAAGGGCAAAGCAGAGATCGATGAGGTAGAGTGCTAGGAGAAAGTTGTGGGAGAAATTTGAGGAGGAGGCAAAGATCCCCTTTCACCTGGGCAAAGGTAGTGGGGGGAGAAGAAGGAGAGGAGCATCTTCAGGTCAGGGAAAGTTTCATGGAATATGGGGCATCTGGGTTGGGTCTTAATCAAAGACAAAAGCTTTGAACTACAGAGAGGGGAGAAATGTACATCCCAGGAATGATGTATATATGAGCAAAAGCCAAGGTGGAGGCAGAATGAAAACAGGAAATGGAGAATAGTCCAGTTTGACTAGGCACCTATGTGCCATGAAGAGGAGAAGTAGGAGATAAGGCTAGAAAAAGATTGGAGACAGATTGTGGAATCATCACCATAAAAATAGCAGCATATTTTACAAACATTTTCTCATTTGAGCCTCACAGCAACCCCATGAAGTAAAGTATTACAAGAAATGTTATCCCCATTTTTCAGATGAGAAAACTTGAAGCTAAAGTGAACTTTGTTCACGATCACTCAGCTCTCCATGTCAAAGGCAGTATCCAAAGTCAAGCCTTCCTGACTCCAAGTCCAACACTGTGCAGTAGGCCATGCTGAAAGGCTTTTAACACTGCAATCTAACTTGTCTTCTTGATCTACTTAGGGGCATCTAGGTGGCAAAATGAATAGAGTGCTCTCCTGGTGTCAGGAAAACCTGAGTTCAAATGTGGCCTCTTATACTTAACTAGCTGTATGACCCTGGGCAAGTCACTTAATTTCTGTTTGGCTCAGTTTCTTCATCTGTAAAATGAGGATAATAATAATGCCTACCTCCCAGGGTTGTTGTGAGAATTAAATGAGATCACATTTGTAAAACACAGAGTAGTACCTGGCACGTAGCAAGTGCTAAATAAATATTATTATTATTATTAAATGCTAAGATAATACAGAATTGTTGGACGTTTTTGAGTGCAGGAGTGACATGATTAGAGAAATGAAGAGGAATATTACACAGAGAACAGTGTGTGAAAGATGGTTTAGAGACAGCAGAGAATGGAGATAGGAAGATGAGTTAGAGGGCTAGTATAATAGCCTAGGAAAAACAAACAAAAAACAAAACAAAAAACACATATCACATCATTTAAAATTGTATCTTCTTTAGGTTCACAATTAAATAAGTCTACAAGTGCACCTCACTTTATGCAACAGACATTCTTGAAAAGTTACATATAGTTATAGTTTAGGTACATTTTGGGTAAAAGGGGATTTTATGGGCTGCCCTAGCAACCTACCCACTACATGTGACCTTATTTCTATAAGAAAATATGTCCCACCTTCTTAACAACTGACACACCACTGAATTTTTGGAATGGAATGTAAGGGTACTGCCTGTACTTTAAAACGCTAGTCTGGGGGCAGCTAGGTGGCATAGTGGAGACAGCATTGGCCCTGAAGTCAGGAGGACCTGAGTTCAAATGCAGCCTCAGACCGGTCACTTGACATTTACTAGCTGTGTGACCCTGGGCAAGTCACTTAACCCCAATTGCCTAAAAAGAAAAAAAAAATATTGGTCTGATGGAGGATAGGTGGGGCAATGGAGAATACGTCCTCATTTTATTTTCTGTACAGTAAATCAAAGATGAGGCTCTTGACACAAAGAGGTGGAAACTGAGCTCTTGGTTCTGGGCCAGAAGAGAGGGAAGTGATTCTTATTGTTCTGTATCTGGGTTGGAGAGAGAGCCTCCTCCCAAGATCCTCATGTACCCGTTCCTGACTGCCCATCTTCTGACTCAGTGCCTGCCCTCTCCACCCAGAAGACTGTGTGGAACCACTATCAGCCTAAGCCAGAATGAGCCCTAGGCAGGGAGAGAACACCGTACTCCATTGGCCTGGCGCTCCTGGGCTCCCTGCAGAGCTACTCACTTGTACACAGTTTCTCATAGTCCTCACAGCAGTCCTTGTGCTGCTCACACTGATGATTACACTGGCAGTCAGCTGCCTTGTTTAATCTCTCTCCACAGTGGTGTGCACATGACTCCATTGTCCCTATTGGCAGTAAGAGATACAAGGTCAGGCTTGTGGTGTTGCCATTCTCACCGGACCAGGACGCCACACCAGCAGGCTCTGGGGACCCCGAAAAAGGTTCAGGGACAACAGGGAAAGTGGCCCCAACAGAAAAGAAAGTTCAGCTGTCCCTGCTCAGAGGATACTTTCCTCTCCGTTTCACAATATGACCCTTCTAGCCATTTCAGGGACTTCACGATATCAGTTCCACCATCCATGCTATTTCATCCCATCATGTCTCCTTTTTCTCTGTGTTCCTTTTTCTTCTGCATCTTCTATTTCTTCCACAACTTCCACACCATCTCTTCTGGATAGGAAATACAAATCCCATCTCATTTGTCCCTTCCAAAGCTCCTGTTCCACTCTGGTTTAGAATCTATATTGGGCTGAGACTAGGGTTAATGTTTAAAATGAGTTAGTGCAAAGGTGCAGTTTGGATCATATTTAGGGTCAGGGATAAGTCTTATGGGTTAGAGTTAGGGTTAAGGTTAAAGTTCAAGTCTGAGAGAGGGTTAATGCTTTAATTTGAGTTAGGATTGCATGCAAGCACACTGGATTTGGAATTGGAGGGTATAAGTTTAACTCTTATTTCCATCAGTATTCTTTAGTAAGATTCCTCTGAGACTTGTTTTTCCTCATTTAAAAATGAGGATGATAATTTTTATACTACCTATTTCACAGAGATGTTGTGAGTGTAGGGGATCATGTCCTCCTTAGAAGCTTTATCTCCCACAGGTCTATGTAGATCAGAGGAAGTGGTGATTCTTGCATTCAACTAAGCACTAAGGTAGCATTATCATTTGTACTGTTCTTCACTAGCCTGTGTGGGATACGGTCACAAAGGAGAACATGTTTTCTCTACTTATAGTCTTAAAGCACTATAAAATATATATGATATTACAATTAGTTCTAGTTATAGGGTTAGTATAATTCTAATTGTTACTGTTATTTAGTCAATTAGTCATGTCTGACTCTTCATGACCCCATTTGGGGTTTTCTTTTTTCTTTTTTTTTTTAATCTTTTCTTCTTTTTTTTGTTTTTTTTTTTTCTTTTTTTAAAATTTTTTTAAGTTTCTTTCTTTCTTTCTTTCTTTTCTTTTTTTTCCTGAGTTTCTTTTTTTTAAATATAAATTTATTTATTTTTAGTTTTCAATATTCACTTCCACAAGTTTTTGAGTTCCAAATTTCTCACCCCTCCCCTCACCCCAAGATGGCATGCATTCTGAATACCCCTTCCCCTGGTCTGCCTTCTCTTCTATCTCTCCCCACTCCCTTCTCTTATCTCCTTCCCCTTCTATTTTCCTGTAGAGCAGGATAGACTTCTGTACCCCATTTCCCGTATTTCTTATTTCCCAGTTGCATGTGAAAACATTTTTCTTTTTGAAACATGTGTTTTTAAAACTTTGAGTTCCAAATTTTCTCCCTTCCTCCCTCCCCACCCACCCTCCTTGAAAAGGCAAGCAACTCAATATAGGGTTGTACATGTGCAGTTATGCAAAACACTTCCTTAGTAGACATGTTTGTGAAAAACTAACTCTATTTCCCTTAATCCTATCCTGCCCTCCCATTTATTCTATTCTTTCTTTTGACCCTGTCCCTCCTCAGAAGTATTTGCTTCTGATTACCCTTCCCAATCTGCCCTCCTCTCTATCACCCCCTGCTCTCTTGTCCCCTTCTCCCCTATTTTCCTGTAGGGTAAGACAGATTTCCATACCCAATTGAATGTGTATGTTATTCTCCTTAAGCCAAATCCTATGAGAATAAGATTCCTCATTCCCTCTCACCTTCCCCTGTTTCCCCTCCACTGAGAGACTTTTCTGTTTTTTTTTTGTGAGATAATTTACCCCATTCTACCTCTCCCTTTCTTCTCCGAGTATAATCCTCTCTCATCCCTTAATTTTATTCTCCAGATATGACCCCTTAATCTTCAACTCACCCTGTGCCTCTCTATCTATCTATCTATCTATCTATCTATCTATCTATCTATCTATCTATCTATCTATCTATCTATACATACATACATAATTTTTTCCTTCAACTACCCTAATACTGACAAAGTTCTCATGAGTTACAAATATCATCTTTCCATGCAGGAATGTAAACAGTTCAATCTTAATAAGTCTCTTATGATTTCTCTTTCCTGTTTACCTCTTCATGTTCCACTTGAGTCCTGTATTTGAAAGTCAAATTTTCTTTCAGCTCTGGTCTTTTCATCAGGAATGCTTGAAAGTCCTCTATTTCACTGAATGACCATTTTTTCCCCTGAAGGATTATACTCAGTTTTGCTGGGTAGGTGATTCTTGGTTGTAATCCTATCTCCTTTGCCCTCATATTATATTCCATGCCCTGCGTCCTTTAATGTAGAAGCTGCTAAATCTTGTGTTATCCTGATTGTGTTTCCACAGTACTTGAATTGTTTCCTTCTGGCAGCTTGTAATATTTTCTCCTTGACCTGGGAACTCTGGAATTTGGCTACAATATTCCTAGGAGTTTTCCTTTGGGGATCTCTTTCAGGAGGAGATCTGTGGATTCTTTCAATTTCTATTTTGCCCTCTGGTTCTAATATATCAGGGCAGTTTTCCTTGATAATTTCTTGAAAGATGATGTCTAGGCTCTTTTTTTGATCATGGCTTTCAGATAGTCCAATAATTTTTAAATTCTCTCTCCTGGATCTATTTTCCAGGTCAGTTGTTTTTCCAATGAGATATTTCACATTGTTTTCTAATTTTTCATTCTTTTGGATTTGTTTTACAGTGTCTTGATTTCTCATAAAGTCACTGTCTTCCAATTGCTCTATTCTAATTTTTAAGGAAGTATTTTCTTCAGTAATCTTTTGGACTTCCTTTTCCATTTGGCCAATTTTTCTTTTTAGGGTTTTCTCCTCATTGGCTTTTTGGACCTCTTTTGCCATTTGGGTTAGGCTGTTTTTTAAGGTGTTATTTTCTTCAGTATTTTTTGGGTCTCCTTTAGCAAGCTGTTGACTTGTTTTTCATGATTTTCTTGCATCACTCTCATTTCTCTTCCCAGTTTTTCCTCTACTTCCTTACTTGCTTCTCAAAATCCCTTTTGAGCTTCCAAGGCCTGGGACTGATTCATATTTTTCTTGGAGGCTTTGGATGTAGGAGCTTTGACTTTGTTGTCTTCTTCTGGTTGTATATTTTGATCTTCTTTTCACCAAAGTAAGATAATATAGTCTGACTCTTTTTGCGCTGCTTGCTCATGATCCCAGCCAATTACTTGATTGAGTTTTAAACTCTTTGTTAAGGTAAGAGTCTGCTTCCAATGTGGAGATGTACTGTCCCAAGCTTCAGGGGTTTGTGTAGCTGTTTTCAGAGATACTTGTAGGGACCTGTAAATTTTCAGTTCTTCCAAGGTGGTATGATAAGGGCGAGGTGTTTACTCCTTTCCTGGCCTGTGACCACAGTATTCCTTTCTGTCCGTAACTGTGAGGAGGGTTCCTCTCCACAGCCACTACAAGCTCCACCACGCCAGCGCTCCTCCTCACCCCAGCACGCCGCCCAGAACTGTGACCCAGATCCAAACAGGGCAAAGCAAGAGATTCCTGCCTCAGCACTGGCAAAGAGATCCCTGCAATCCCTCTCTGATCAGCCACTGGATTCCCTCTCAGTCTGTGGGCCAGAAGCTCGGGAAGCAGCTGCCACCCCCAGGGCCACGCTCTTGGGGAATGGAGCTGAAACCCCGCCTTCCTCTCTGACCACTGACAGAAACAGACTTTTCCCACTGACCTTCTAAGTTGTCTTTGGCATTGTGGATTGAGGAGTCTGGAAACCTCCACAGCTGCCCGTGATTCACTCCTCTGAGGCCTGTTCCAGGTTTGCTGTGGCCGGCGCACCCATGCCGCGCTGTGCTCCTAGCCCGGCGTGATACACCTTTCTGATCAATCATCCAGGTTGTCTTGGGCTGGAAATTTGTTTCACTCTGTCTTTATGTGGGTTCTGCTGCTTCAGAATTTGTTTAGAGCCATTTTTTATGAGTATTTGGAGGGGTTTGGGGGAGAGCTCAAGCTAGTCAGTGCTTTCACCCCGCCATCTTGGCTCTGCCCCTCATTTGGGGTTTTCTTAGCAAAGGTACTGGAATGGATTGCCATTTCCTTCTCCAGCTCATTTTATAGATGAGGAAACTGAGGCAAACAGAGTTAAGTGACTTGCCCAGGGTCACAAAGCTAGTAAGTGTCTGAGGCCAAATTTGAACTCAGTTCCTCCAGACTGACTGCAGGACCAGCATTCTCTGCCATCTAGCTGTCCCTGTAATTCTAATTGGTCTAGAATTAAGGTTAAGCTCCATATTTGTTTCAAAGTCTGAATTTATCACAGACCATCTCCCTAAATCTAAGCAGCTATTGTGTAGATGTATGGTCTCTCTCTCTATTTTTTCCCCCACAAGAGGTGTTCTACACGAAGTAATGCATAGATTCACATAAATCCCTGGCCACATCTGGAAAAGGAACTCATCAGGATCCATCAAGGTGGTTCAGCACTGTCATCTTCATGTAAAAGAGTTAGCACATAGCTTAGATTCAGGGCTATAGTTAAGTTTGTGGTTTAATTTTGGCTCCTTCTATGCTTAGAGAAAGTGTGAATGTAAGAGTGAGGTCCAGGATTAGGGTTAAGATTATCAGTTCAGTTAGGATTAAAACTTAGGCTCTTGGTTTTTTGTTATTGTTGGAGTTAGGACCATAGGTTAAGATTGATGTCACAGTCACTGTTGCTATGGAAATTAATTAGCTTTGGTGACTCAATTAGATGTGAATTTGATCACGATTGGGGTGAGAATAGGATTTGATATGAAGGCAATTATTAGAATTGGGGTTTGAGTTAATTTTTTAAATATGATAAAGGTTGGGAAAGTTTAGGATTACCTTTAAAATCAGTGATGGAAATGGCAGTTCACAGTGAACATAGTGTTAAAATGAGTTTTAGATTATGTTTAGGGTTATGATATGGGGTGAATCTTAGATATTGGAGCTAGGTTTTGGGTTAAGATTCACCTGCAGGCTGCCACCTCCCAGGGAAGCTTCAGGATTATTGCAAGGGTTCCTGAAACCATACATTGTCCTTTTGCCTCTATTTAGCTCCAACAAAACATGCAGCATTAATCCAACTATTGTTAGGGTTGTGAAATTGTTTAATGACAGTGCTTAAAAAGGTTGGGAACCATTAGCCTTAGATTAGGTACAGGGTTGGAGGTTATTGATATGGCTAGAAACTGAAATAAAATAAAATCTGTTTTGTGTTTGGATTAGGAGTTATTTAATGGTAAAGTTTGTCTTAGGAGTTAGCCTTCAATTCTAGTTTAAATATGATTTAGGTTAGGGATTATAGTTCAAATTCAAGCAGGTTAAAACATGCACCCAAGTGCATGCCATTTGTGAGGTGTAAAACAACCAGATTGACTGTAGGATTAATGCATTAATTGGGGATCTCATTTAACATCTCAAATCCAGTAACCTCCCTTTGTATTCTTGAGTCCCATCTCTTTGGGGTTTTTTTGGTTTGTTTTTGCTAGGCAATGGGGTTAAGTGACTTGTCCAGGGTCTCACAGCTAGTGTCGAGTGTCTGGTCTGAGACCAAATTTGAACTCAGGTCTTCCTGACACCGGGGCTGGTGCTCTGTATCCACTGCGCCACCTAGCTGCCCCCAGTCTCATCTCTTGAACATGCTTATCTAGCTGAAAGCAAAAAACAAACAAACAAAAGACGACAGCCTTTAGTTCTATATCTAGGGGTGACCTGGAGCCTGCTTATCTTACTCATCAGCTCTGGAGAGCTGATTGTTAAAATTTCAGTAGGCCCATTTATAGCTCAGAAATCAGCAACCACTCCAAAATCAGGGCTGTTTATTATTTTGTTGTTTGTCTAGATTTAAGAGGGGGTTACAGAAAATGTTATTCATGCAGATTAAACTTAAAAGAGCCATGGGCACATTTCCCCCCCTCCCCAGAGAACTGGTTGTCTAACATTTACCAGCACACCACCACCATCCCAGAACTGTTGGAGCCAAGATTCTGAGAATCTCTTTTCACATTTTGTAAAAAAAATTTCAGGATATCAGGGAAAACAGAATTGATGAAAGATCTATGAGTGTCCTTGTGATTCAAGTGACTCTTTCCTAGAAGATGGTTTGGGTCCAAGCTTATTTCCCTTTTAGGAGTTTCAGTTATGGAAGATACTCACAGATCTTTAAAATTGGTAACTTTGGGGCAGCTAGGTGGTGCAGTGGATAGAGCACTGGCCCTGAAGTCAGGAGGACCTGAGTTCAAATCTGGTCTCAGACCAGACACTTGACATTTACTAGCTGTGTGACCCTTGGCAAGTCACTTAACCCCAATTGCCTAAAAATAAAATAATAATAATAATAAAAATAAAATAAAATTGGTAACTCTCTGTGGCCCAAATCCAGAAATATGAAGGGGGAAATATCTAAGAATTGGTAGTTGCCAATCAGTTTAGCACCAGGCCCATGAAGGAGCATAGCCAGAACCCAAGGAAGAGAAAAAGGGTAAAAATTAGACATCTAGGATAAACCAGTTTAGTGGAGAAATGGAACCATTCAATTCCAGCTACCAGAGCCAGTTTGAGAAAAGTTTGAAACTGAGGTTAGCTAGGTGGCATATGGAATAGAGAAAGTCACAAGGAGTCAGTAAGAGCTGAGTCTGTAATCCTGCCTCAGACACTTGCTAGTTGTGTGAGTCTGGACAAGCCACTTAACCGCTATCAGCCTCAGTTTCTTCATCTGTAAAATGGCTACCCTGCAGGATTGTTGACTGAACACTTTGCAAACCTTAAAGTACAACACAAATACTAACTTTTCTATTAGTATATTTTAGGGAAGCCCCCATTGGACCAAATTGAACTCTTTTTCATCACTAGAAACACAATTGTATTTGGTGCCCAGGAGGATCTGTAGCTACTGATTCTTCACATTTTTATTAGTGAATGCGGTTGAGGGACCCTCCCCTTGCCATCCTGGGAATGCAAGGACATTACTGGATTATAGGCACTAGTCACTACTAATTTATTCTAATTCTTCCACCCAGCATCTACCTCATTCTGTTTCTGTTTATGTCAGACTTACTAGATGAGACACATGAATCACTGCCCCACCTTCCTCTTTCCATCTATCATCCTCTTTCTTAGTGTGTGTATATATGTGTCTGTCTTTCTGTCTTCTTTCTCTTAGTCTCAATTCTTCCTCCCTCCACTCTGATGAAACATTTACTCTCCCTGTTTAACCCTCTTATCTTTCTGATTTCCTTAGGATGGCTCAGCAGTAAGTCCACCTTCTGAAACCTTCTTCCAACAAAACTATCAACAATACCCACCAAAGGGAACTTAGCGCTAAAGGCCTAAACCTGAATGAATAGTAGTGTCATTAAATCTCTAGACTTCAGCTCCTGGATCAGAATACAGATGTTACATGTTTGTTTTCCACTGGAGATCCTAGTTACTATTTCCATGGAGACAATCTCCTGTAGGATCAATTTCCAGTACCTGAGCTTTCCATTCAAATTCCCTCAAAAATGGTTCTTCAAAATCTTCCTCAAAACCAGTAGACAAATGAATCCCACAGGTTGGCAGTGTAGACATTTCTGGGATAATACAGACTTTCCCCCAATAGTTCTGACACTTTGGTATAGTGAATAGTATAAACAAAGATGGAGTCTCTTTTTCCACTGACAGATGGGAAATCCTTGAGACACACATATAAATCCCACAAGAGGAGCGCATAGAGCCATTCAACTCTCATAGAAGAAGCATCTCAGGCTTTACCTCCGGAGCTCTGCTTTTTTATTCCTTCTATAGGAGCCTGAATAAAATCCAGGGTCTGCAGGGAGGAAAACTTGCTATCACCTTCCTCTATGCAGGAAGGCCCAATTCATCCTCCAACATTCATTGCTTTTCCTCCAAACAGTCAACCTCGTGTAGTCTGGGAGATTCAGAAAGTGCCCAGGGTTATTAAACTTCTTTCTCAGGCCCCCACCCCCCTCTGACACTGGGCTCAAGGCAGGTTCTTCTGACTATTTGCAGACCCATTTGTACAGACCCAGTCAAAGATAGAGCTTCCCCCACCCTTTAGCTTTATTAGGGAGACACTCCCCAGGTTACCTCAGAGATGGCATGTCTTCCTGAGACTTTTCAGGCTCCTTGCCCCATCATCCACAAAAAGTCAATGTGAGGTGATCCCAAGATGATCAAACATCTCAAACATAGGGGTCTACAGGAGCAGCACCACACTGCCCATCAACTCATAATGACACAAGATATGCCATTCTGGATCACTGATAACCCCATGGAACAAAGGCATGGGGTGTTTTTTTTGCAGTAGCACAACTGTCCTGTATGATAACTCCATTCACACAGGCACCCAAGTACCTTCAGACCAAGATGGGTGTCTAAGAAGATAATCAGAGGAAGGATGCTGGCTTTAGGGGAAAACTATCTCTTCCCTTGCCCTCAGTATTTTCCCAAGATCCCCAGTGCTTTTCTTCTTCTTCTAACGTCTTCTTCTGCCATCTACATCCATTACATTCTCCCCTTTTCCCAAGTACTCACCAGCCCAGGCTAGCCTGCAGATCAGGGCTAAGAATAGGAGGTCCCTGGTCCCCATGGTGCAAAGGCAGAGGAGGCTGACTGCTAGGCTTTCACGTGTTCCCAGAGAAATTCCACAAATTCTAAGCCTATCTCCTGGACTGAGCCTTTTAAAGGCTCCAGGCTTGTGGAGCTGGTGCTTCCAGATCTTTTCAGGAATGAAAAAAAGGGGAGGGAAACCCTAGTGGGCAGGAGGCAGAGATGAAGGTGGGGCCCTGCAGCTGTTTGAAGCCAGAAGGAGCCTAGGCAGGCAGGCAGGTAATTCCAGCTGTTTGTGGCTTCCCTCTAGATAGAAAATAGGTCATCCACAAACAGGACTGGGGTTTACTACCAGAGAAGAGAGGTGCCTGAACTCAAGGCCAGACTAAGCTGGAGTTAGGGGTGTTGTGGAGAAAAGAAGGCATGTATCAAGTCAACTAGTCAATAAGCATTTATTAATCCCCTACTGTGTGCCAGTCACTGTGCTAAATACTGAGGATACAAAGAAAGGCAAAGACAGGAGAAAAGGATAAGGGCTATATTGGTCAGCATCCCATTAAACTGTGCAAATTACACAAGAGACAACAGAAATACATCTGTTCTTTAAGTCAACATCTCAGGTATTTCCCACATGACAGGCTCAAAGGATAGGAATTCCAATAACCATATCTTCGGCTAAGTCATTGTGTAGGTGGGACTATGCCCACTCATTTTCACAGATTGCTTCATGACCTTTCTAGTGTTGTCACATTCTTGTTTACTCTTGTCTTGTGTTTAACTTCTCTCCCCAACTTATTGTAAACTCCTTGAGATCAGGGACTAAAAAGTATCTTGTATTGTTTCCTCTACAATACCTGGGGGAGTGCTGTGCATGAGGTGCCTGAATTCACAGGTGCATCGTGTTCAGCTAAGTGTTTATGTGAACATGGAAAAAAGGGGAGTGGCCAGCAGGGTACCATAAAATAATGCTGTCTTGGGCTTATCATTTATTTATTTATTTTTATAAGCCAAATCTTTTTTTTATTTTTATTTTTTTAGGCACGACTTGCCCAGGGTCACACAGCTAGTGTCAAGTGTTTGGTCTGAGGCTGGATTTGAGCTCAGGTCCTCCTAACTTCAGGGACAGTGCTCTATCCACTGTGCCACCTAGCTGTCCCTAAAATCTTTTTTTAGTTAATATGTAGGATTTCTCCCTTCACACCATTCTCCTAACTATGCCTAGAATGACATTCTTCAGCTTTTAGACCCATTGATCTAAAACTCAGATAATGATTCCCATGCCTAGCTTTCTGAATCTATAAGTGTGTGGATTTCTGGATGGATGTTTGCAATGGTTTGTCCATGATTCTGCTGATTCCTGGGGAAAAGTATTGGATTTCAATTAGCTCACCCCTATTTCCAAGTTTGTTGACTTTATGGCTTGTTAACCACTCAATAATACAAGTCCCCTTTCGTGACTCCCTGACTCCTGATCTTCTGAACCTAGGAACAAAATACATATTGTTTCACATATATGCATGTGTACATATGTAAAAACATAATAGAATATATTTTGATATAATTTAATGCATTTATATGGCTTACATAATACATAGTATACATATATGTTGACTCAATCTTCCAGTCAAATCTGCTCCAAACAATTCATAGGATCACAGATTTAGAACTGGAAGAGAACTTAGTAGAGCTGGGATTTGACCCTAGGACCTTTAATTCCATATCTATTTGTTTTTCCACTCCGCCACCCCACCTTTGTAGAATAAGGGAAGAAGTGAATGTGATCAGTAGCAGTGAGTAATTCTCCCAGGACAAAGCCCCTCCCTATTACGAGCACTACCATCACACTTCCTCCTGATGCTCCCTGGGATTCTATGAGTTTCAGTGTCTACAATATTATCCTAGAAGAGTCCTTGAAGCTAAACTCCCTTTCCCCATCCTCTGCTCTCATAGAACAGGTCAGGTAATCAGTTTCGGTATGCTATATTGTATGTCCCTCTGTACTGATACTTGTCTCATTGTTCCCACGCAATAATTTTTGAAGTAAAGCCATCATTTAGTGTCCAGTGTCCTCAGCAAGAGATCGAGAAACAACAGATAGGCTGGCATACCACAAAAATAGAGACAAGTCAATGAGAGGCAGACAGATAACAATAAAGAATCTGGAAACAGGTCATTATAAGAACCACTCACTCGCATTCAAGCGGCATCCTCAGCACTGCCCTGCCCACATACATAAAGGTTATTGCAATGACAGTCAAGACTACTGGCCCACAGTCAGAAGGATGTACTCTCTGAGTTGTTTGTCCAATACTGAGTTTGTCCAAAAGTTTGTAGTGAGCCATTCACACTTTGATCTACCTGCTCTCATGACCAAGGGCACACATTTTTATGGTAGTTAGTCAAAGATAGGGTTGCCATAGTCTGTAGCATTGTTTTCCTTTGTGGGAAAACAATGGCCCAGATACGCACAAAACTGTAGCTCCACAGGGCATAGTGCTTTAACTGAAAAAACTGTCTCTAGATGAAAATCTGGGTTGCGAATGCAGTAGTTGGCAACTAAGCCTTCCCTCATCCCTCTCCACTTGTTACTGGTTTATTATTTTACTAACTCTTGTCTCAGGTTCTAAGGCAATCAAATGATATATTTTCATATATACTCATAAATTAATATGAAAGCATAATGTCTCATTAACTAATCAATTGGCTTTAAGCCCTCATCCCTGTGCATAAATAAACTAGAAAAGCCTCTTTTCCCATAAACTTTCACTCATCTCTCTCTCTCTCTCAGTATCAAACTCCTGTCTCTGGAGTAAGATAAAATTAAGATTACTGACTATATAATTAAATACGAGCCAGAATCACTGCAACTTCTGTGTCCTCAACAACTCTGGAAACAAATCCCCACCATTGTTCTCTCTCAGGATGGCAATCAAAGTCTCTCAAGAATCCTTTTCAAATTTTCTCCACAGCATATCTTCTCCACAGGATAAGCATTAAATTAACTTCTCTCAAACTGCCTCTTTATTTTATTTATTTATATATTTTTGACAAGGCAATTGGGGTTAAGTGACTTGCCCAGGGTCACACAGCTAGTAAGTATCAAGTGTCTGGTCTGAGACCAGATTTAAACTCAGGTCCTCCTGACTTCAGGACTGCTGCTCTAGCCACTCCACCACCTAGCTGCCCCAAAATGTTTCTTTAGTCTTTCTTAAGGCTAAGTTAATTTACTTACTTTTCCAGGAAAGAAAGTTCTCTTAGTGAGTCTTTTTTTCTCTGAGCCTAACACAGTCTCTCAGCCTCGACAGCTAACTTTCTCTAGATGACAATAGAATTCTAAGCTTTTATTCCTTCCTAAAGATCCATTAACTCTGGAAGGAAACTTTGGAGCTAAGGGTTATAATAATAATAATTAGAAGATGATACTAATAACAACTAATAGCTCATATATTTGTAGAGCTTTAAGATTTACAAAGCATTTTCCTCCTAAAAACACTATAAATCAGGTTGTGAGGGTATTATGGCCCTCATTTTACAGATGAGCAATTAAGTTACTTATTCAAGATGGTGAAGCTAATAAAAATAGTAGCTGGGATTTGAACCCAGGTCTTCTGAAGTCAAGCCTTAGTGCTCTTTCTAATACACAATACTACCTCTTAGTGTGAACTCCTGTGTCACCAGTGATTCCCATCTAGGGATCCTGGAGGCCTCAAGCTGTTGACTCTCTTTCGCCTACTGAAGGGCACTTAAGTACACAATACAGGCTTTCTCTCCCAAGGTAGGTACCCCATGTTCTGAATCTTTCCCTGCCCCTCCATTAAAACTTATCTTTCCTATATTCTAATCTCTTGGGACACTCATCTCCAACTTTTTAAAGTGAGGGCTAACTAATCTGATAAATTAATTCAAGCCAAGGTGTTGAAATAGTTTAGCTAGCTAGCATGTTTGCATTTTAATAGAGTCTTCTATAGTTTATGCCTAATCCCAAAGGATTAAGAGTGGAAATTTCAGATATTGCAGAAGGCTTACAAGGAAGATATTGTAAGGGGCTTCTCATGCCTCAGATGATACCATCGTAGGTAGCTGTCTATTCTACCTAGTGGTAGGACTGGTCTTGAGTTTACCCTAAGAAGCATTGTCATGTAGCAGACAGAACATTGGTCTGGGAATCAGGAAACCCTGGTTCTAGTCCTGTGTCTGTTTCTCAATGATCTTGAGCTAATGTCCCTGGACCTCAAATTCCTTATCTATAAAATGAGGTTGGGCTCAATTATTTCTAAGACTTATCTCAGCTGTGATATTCTATTTTTCTGTGTCACATGTCTCTGTTCAAAGAGATATTCAAAGACCAGTAAAGTATGCTCCCTCACTTCATCCCTTTTTCTAATGTTCCTACTGCTCCAGATCATTGAGAAAAATTTTGGAAGCATCTGACAAACAGGAGAGTTGAGGATACAGGCTACTTGATGAAATGGTGGAAAGGCTTACATTTATAAGACAGATTTTTATGTAGGTTCAGTAAGCTCATGCGGCCTCAGTACATAGGTGATGTACAATCCCTCTTCCTGCAGAGACTCTGAGTGCAAGATCTTTGGGATCACCAACTCAGCCCACATAATCCGTGATGCTATTTAGGCTAATATCCCCCCTAAAACCTACAGCTTGGTTAGGTAATACTAGGATAAGGAACCATGAATCCTATCTCCCATGTTGCAGAACTTTTCAGACTCTTACATTAGAGCCAAGATACTATATTATTTTTTGCCAGCCCTCATCTCTTCAGCAAACTACAGATTCTTCTTAGTTATTACTTCTAAGAATTCTGATTGTGCCTTTCTGACACCTGTATTTCTCTCTCACCAAATAGCTCTCCTTGTCTCTTTTCTACAAAGATACCTTCTCTAGGAGGTTTCTTAAGGGTGGGAGAGAAGATACCCTCAGAACTGAGCTGAGCCAAGCCAGGGGCTCTAAGGACCATCTTGCTTTACCCTAATAACAGCTGTCCTGTGCCCTGGGTCCAGCAGGTATCTCCTCTGGGTGTCT